AGAAAGAAAGAAAGAAAGAAAGAAAGAAAGAAAGAAAGAAAGAAAGACAGACAGACAGACAGACAGAAAGAAAGAAAGAAAGAAAGAAAGAGAGCAGGGCGAGCGCGCGCACGCTTGTGTGCTATGGACGGCACGCTCACGCTCCAGAAAGGCGCGGTCAGAGCGCTGCGCAGAGAGAAAGACAGAGAAAGAAGCACTTAAAGAGAATGAGAGAGAGAGAGAGAGAGAGAAAGAGAGCAGGGCGCGCGCGTTCGTGTGCTATGGACGGCTTGCTTGGCTCTTGTCCTCGTCTTGTCCTCTGTGCTGGGCTCTGTGGCTGGGCCTTGTCCTCTTCTTGTCCTTGTCTTGGCCGCGCCCCTGAACTCTGTGGCTGGTCTCTGTGGCATTGCTTACTGGAGAGGAGTGTGGCCGAACAAATAGCGATGCCAATGCCGAATACAGTAAATAGAATTTGGAAGCAGTTTGCTCTTGGGTGAAAGTAGGGCGTACCAAACAATCGATTTTTGACTGATATTGGCCTAAACGAATCGTTTTGAAGCTGTTTGGGGTCTATGCTTGTATAATTTGTTTCCTCGATTCCCCCCTAGAGACGCTTCCGCAAACGACTATTCGGATCAGCTTTGTGATGCATCCAATGTTTGAGGGGGGGGCAGCAGATCGCCTGTTTTCGGTTTGGCTTAAGCGCGTCCTTGTTACTAGTAGCGGTGGCTTCCAACCTACTTGCGATGCCTCGTAGCGTCCTTGTTACTAGTAACTATCTGCAGGCATGCTCATTTAGTTCCTGTGGTGCGGCACTTGTCCACTTCACCCAGCAGGAAAGCCTGCCAGCGCGCCTGCCAGTGTGCCCTCAAGCGCTCCGGTGTCATCCCAGCAGAGCGAGGAGAACCCAGCGAAGAGGCGGAAGTTCACCCCAGCTTTTCGGTTGAATGACACGAGGGCGGTGCACAGCGTATGTCATTTCATTAGGGAGGGAGGGGGTGAGGAGCTTCATTTCACCGAGTGGTGCTACTTCCAATATCTGTGCTTCATAGCCGCCTGACATGGGGAAGAATCCTGTCGACCTGATCGTAAGATTTAAACCATAGCTAAACCTTTTATGCTCCTGAGGATGTAACGGTATGTAACACTTTGCCCAAGAGTTTAGTGATCACACACTCCTGCATAGTGTAGAACATCGTAGAACCATAAGCATGTCAGTTTCTGGACACCCAGATTTGGGCCGCCCGAGGCGCCCAAGGCCAAGGCGCACGGTGACACTTCCGGACCGATGAGCGGCTTTCGGTTTCGCGGACGTCGGGGGCGAGTCGATGTGTTCAATGCTGATCTCCACCGAATCGGTGGCTTGTCGCCACATGCCAATTGGACCTCCAATGAAGAGACCGGACATGAATCCGCCCGACGTCACCTCACAATTACGACCTAACCCTTTCGTGAAATAAGGGAAGCATCATTATGGAAAGTAAGTGCTATAGCTACCACCAAATCCGGGCTCACCAGCGGTTCCACCTACCATTTTCAATCTCCTGCATCCTCAAAGCCATCCTCAAAACCATTGAAATCAGTCGAAGACAAATTTTGTTTTAGAAGTGATCGTTTCGAAGTCTCAGTCTTTCGAGGCCTCAGATTTCGAGCAAGAAAGGATTTTCGAAAAAAGGGTTGATATTCGAGATTTTCGGCCCACTTCGGCAATTCCAATTTTGGAGCGGCCTGGTTGACTCAAAGGAGTTGTTCGAATTCTGGAATTTGAGGAATATTTGGGAAAGGGGTAGGTTCGAACAACTTTTCTCAAACGCTGTTGTTTTTCAGCTTTCCACGACGGTTCGCTGGTTTGAGTCCACCCTGGTCATCATCGGCTTCTTCCCGGTGCCTGAAGCGCTCCAAAACGATCACCTTCGAACCCATGCTCGATTGGTGGGAGGCCGACGTCACATATTTTGTTGTTTCAGACGACCCAACCCCCTAGTTCAATGTTGTAATGAGAAATTCGACCAAACGACCTCCCATGACCGGATAAATGATGGATTTTCTTGCTCGGAGTTCGCTGTTTGGATTGGACACTGGGCGCTTTGATTTGCAAACCCTGAGCCTCTGGCACTGCTTGTTCTGCGTGCCAGTATGTGCAACTAACCATGCGCCCCAGTTCAGTTTAAGCAAACGAACCAGTTCAAGGTTTCTAACCCACAAGAAGGCGATGGGATTTGAGCCGACCGGTGACCACTTCCCAAGCCTTAAGCCATCTCCATCACCAGCCATCTCCCAAATCATCCCTCCTGCGTGCCCATGTCATGTGGGGCCTGAAGGACTGGAGCAAGCCTTGCAGAGCTCCATGAGCTCCACCGGGCCGAGCCGCGTCGAGAGACCCGCTGAGGGCAGCGACCACTTCGCGGCCATGGCCGCAGCAGTTGGGAACTCAGATTGGGGGTGCTAAATGGATGGTCTGAGCGTGACACGGTCTTCAAGTAGGATATGAAAAAGGGGAGCTTGATTGAAGAGAGGCCGCTACAAGCCGTTGGTTGGTGTGCGACACCCTTTAGCATACCAGAAGATCACCTAGCGGGTTGTCATCTGGTTTCCGACAGCATTGCCAACATTTGCAAGAACGCTCAAGAGAGCAAAAAGAGTCTTTCTGGGCCTCAACATCCTGAGACTCCAGTCAAAAATCCACCCTTACATCTCAGGCCACAGCAGATTTCAAAAAGGTGAAACCGTTGGCGCTGACCATTGGCCTGGAGATAATCGCATAAGCTTTTGGACGGTGCTTTGTACGAGATATTGGAGGAACACATGTATCTCTCATGAAGCCCCGTGCTGCAAATATCTTGAGATCCTCACTCGAGGCCCGTTGGTGGGAGAGCAGACATTTCTTCAGGGTTGGGTAAGAGAATTCTCCCTTGGCTGGGCATGCGGATCAGCGATTCTTCTTGAGGTGAAGAGCCACAAGACCAGCGCACCCAAGGTGAAGGGTTCCATCGAGGCGGCTCCTTGGCTGAAGACATGACCTTGCGCAGCTCAGCTGGTTCGGCTCAGCCGATCCAGCGAAGTGTTGCCTCCTCAGGTTGGCGCTGACTACGAGGAGCGTGACCCATATCGCCTGGCCAAAGGGATCCGAGCCTGGTCGACGGCGGACCCCAACAAGGCAGATCGCTTACGCATGAATTCTTCATGCGGGAGAAGCACACAAAAAGGAATATGGCATAAAAATCTCAATCCAATTCCTTCTCCTTCCACTGGGTTTGCAAAGGTTTTTTTCCGCACACCGAGTGACCCAAGCCTTCCTTTCTTTTCGTGGGTGTTTTGGGGGGCTTGCTGGTTGAGAAGGGCTTTGGACCCGATTGCCAGGCTGTTGCGGTGCCCTGGGCATCTTTTGAGCACGCGCAGCTCGTCCCGCTGGGAGTTGCGGGAACTGGCGATGGCTGCGGCCCACCCCCTGGAACGTGCCCTTGAAGGAGGGCTATGAAGATTTCTTGGAAAAAACGATGGCTTGCAAAGGTGTATGTATAACTATATATATATATATATACATTCCCTGAAATGATAGTGGAAGTGGATCACCAATTTTTTGTAGAGGAAGATTATCATCCAAGGGGCCATTTTCCACTTCATGATTGTTTCGGGGAGTGTAGTTTTAGTTTACCGATTATACACCTGACCGGAGTGTGGTTATTGCTTGATTGCCTTGACCGATTTCCATTTAGATATGGGACCTCGTGTCTGGCCATCTATACTGCCCGCCAAGGACATAGGAGTTAGCAGAAGTACCTGAAAGTTTGAAGTCCCAAGTCTCAATGCAAAAGCTGAAGAGGCACAAAAAACACAAGACCTAGGTCGTGGAAACATCAAAGAACTATACATAAATTCAAGCCTTTCCACACGTCCTATCTCATTAGACCAGTTGGGACATGTCTGGAGCAAACAGGACACCTTGACATAGGTTTTGTTCCCCAAACAGTTTACTGTTGTGGTTCTATCTTAGAAAATAAGAGCTGGCCACACTCACTGGTTCACTGGCCGCGTCCCTGAACTCTGTCCGGCTCTGTGTCCGGGCCTTGTCCTCCTCTTCTCCTTGTCTTGGCCGCGCCCCTGAACTCTGTGGTTGGGCTCTGCGGCCCGGCTTTGTGTCCGGGCTGAACTCTGTGGCTGGGCTCTGTGGCCAGGTCTTGTCCTCCTCTTGTCCTGCTGTTGTCCTTCTCTTGTCCTGCTGTGGTCCTCTGGCCGCGCTGACCAGCCCTGGCCGCACTGACTGGCCGCACCCCTGAACTCTGTGGCCAAGTGTTTAGAATGCTGAGGGACGTCCAATGGGATGTCCGCGAAAGAAGTGGGCTTGGGTAGGGGCTCGTCTCATACTGTTGATAGATGGGGCGTCCGAGAATGTGCCCGTGAGACGCATTGGACATTGTCAATGTGCCCGTGAGACGCATTGGACATTGTCACTTTTTCATGAATATGGTCAACAGCTGGAGAGGAGTGTGGCCGAACAACTAGCGATGTCGATGCCGACAAACATCATTGATGAAGAAGTTTGCCCTTGGGGGGAATGTAGGGCGTACCAAGATATCGTTTTTGACTAATATTGGTCCAAGCGAATCGTTCTGAAACTGTTTGGGGTCTATGCTGGTATAATGAAAAGAACATGCCACAAGTCTACATTCAGATTTCCCTGCAAAAGGTGCACCTATGGAACAAGAAACTACTAGGGCTCCTGGCATCGCTACTAGGAGCCAGGACGCTACTAGGAACCTCAAAACGTCACTGGTTTCGTTCAATCCTCAGCGTCGCTGAGGAAGATGCCGCCGAAGCTTCTGCAAGGCTTGCGCACAGCAGGGTTCCAAGAGTCGGGGCCTTGGACACAAACGCTCCGTTTGGATGTGCGGCATCGAAGACCTATGTGGTTGTTGGCCTCCAAAAAGCTTCTCAGGCGATCCTACACCAAAAAAACCAGGTACATGCATCATTGCAGAACAACCAGCCTGGCTTCTGCGAAGAGATTTTTGCCTCGATTTAGTTCTACCCTTTCATAAGAACCACATTGCTACGATGCAGGAACTATTTTTTGGGGGGCAATCTGCAGAACACCCCACAACCAAAGCGTGCAGGAATACAGGGCTTGAAGGCACTAAGGTTTGTCAACTGCAGCCTCCCGTAGTGATGTAATTAGGTTTTGGAGGGGCCAGTAGCTTGTGCAAAACACAAAGCCGTGCTTCAAAGTAAGCTAGTATGGTGGGCGAATAAATTGTAATCCGATTGTTGAGGGATCACTCTCCCCGTGCCACTGCCACTTTTTTTCTGGGATTCTTAGTGATGCCAGCACCGGTGACGCACAACCTGAGGCCCACACCAATCCAGGCACAGGTCTGGCCGATCGCCTCAGGCGGCGTTGACCTCATTGGCATCGTTGCTTGGCAGTCGTGACCCCCGTGTTCTGCGCTGCGAAAGGTGAGGCGATCGTATATAACTGATGTGTCCTTTTTGGGGTCGAGACTCTTTTGACCCAAGACATGTGCTGGTGGGTGAACTCCTCAGCGGGGAATTGTAGCCTTTGACACGACCAGGGCTCCTACAAGTGGTTATTGCTTTTCCTCGGTCATGGGCATTGGGTGTGCCTGTTCTTCGCGCAGCTTAACAAAGCCTACGGCCAAAAGATCCGGCTGAGGCCCGCACTGGCTCTGGGAAGACCTTGGCCTTTCTCTATCCAGCCAGCTGGCAGGGTGGACCAATGGCTGGGGAGGATGGGAACACAGTGTCCGGGGAAGATCAGGGACACTTGTACTCCTACCAACCTTGATGCAACCAGCGGCGACTCCAGCACCACAGTTGCCGAGGCCTACCTCTGGATGCAGCAGCGGCGGGCTGGGGTGCAGTCACTGGTGCTGGCCCCTACAAGGGAACTAGCAACTCAGATCCTTGGCCAAGTGCACTGGCGTGCATGGACCATTTAGAGACCAGCTGTGCTCTTGAAACATTGCCTTCCAGAGAGACATTGTCCCTCAGGGTTGGTCAAGTCGAGAGGTAGCAGTTCATGGTGAGGGTGGAGTTCAAGCTTGAGAGCCAACGTTGTGAACGGATTCGAGCAGGGAAGATGGCTGAAACAAAAACCTATGCAGTTGGATGATGGGACCGATGAGCTGACTCACTTTCTTCATTTTTCTTCTCTGTGCTTCCGTCCTTCCACCACTCTTGGGCTCGGGTCAGTCACTTCAGGATCCACGAAGAGGCCACGAAGTTCTCAGCAGCATCGGGGTTTAGCAGTGCGTGTGCTACTTGACATCAGCTCGCGGGATGCGGCATGATGCGGGGTCGGGTGATTTCGATAATTGTATTACTGTACATGAATATCCCCCCGTACATAGACCCATGCAGCATGCATATATAGAATATAATCGATGGTTGTTGGAAGAAGGGCAAGGCAGTTTGCACCACTTATCTTGACTGCGCGTCGTTCATGCCTCATCACCACGCTTGCTTGTCTCCATCACTGTGGCACCCCTGGCTGTGAAAGACGCACCCACACATATAATGTTCCTATTTGTGAAGCGCCCATCTAGTTCCATGACTCTACTTTTGCATTTTCTGGGGGTGACCCTTGGAAATGAGTTGTGTTTTGGGAGAAAGGTAGGGCACAACATTCTGGAAGAATGTAACTTTTAATTCGTAAGGGTCTGCTGGCCTCGTGGTGTGGGGGCCAAAATGATCCCAAGTGTAGCTTATGTTTGTACATATTTAGTTTCAATTTTTAATCTACATGTGTTGTGTAGAGAAAACGAGAAATACGATTGCACTTTTGGATTTAGCTGTATAACTTACGTTTTCTGGAGGCACCCCCCGTGCCAAGATGGCAGGGAGGATCATCCAAATCCGTCCGCGTCGAATCTCCCCGAGCGAGGTCTACGGCGGCGTCCCGAAGAAGGAGCAGCTGCCGGCGCTGCAACGCGGCTCACCCATCTTGGTGGCCACCCCCGGACGGCTGAACGACTTCCTTGAGCTGCTGGGACGGTCAGATAGTGTAGGAACAACGGAGAACAACAGGGCCAACAGCTAGCCGCTACAGTTGATATGTGCCAATATTTTTTTCAGAAAGCCTAGTTTTGGGTTGGTTCTTTCCAGGTGGACCTTCGTTTCAAAACAGCACACGTTTTCTCACTGCCTTGTAAATGGAGATGGCCCTGGCCTTGGCCAAAAACTCGTCGTGGAAAGTGAGCTGGAAGCTTCCTTCTCGAAAAGGATTGCTCAGGATTTTCTGGGGAGCATGCAGGTTTCGTGGCACCTCGTGTCAATTCCCTGGGTCTCTGCACTTCTCGAGTCTCGGAGTGACCTTTTGAGGTTCCGGCAGGTCACCCTCTCCTCCGTGGGCTATTTGGTCTTCGACGAGGCAGACCGCATGCTGGACATGGGCGGCCCGGCCTGGGGATGGGGGCCGATGTGGTCAAAGGATCGGGTGAGCGATGCACAGGCGGCTGTATTGAATTGTGTTTGACGCAGGCAGAAGACACGACTACAATCTTTTGATTATCGATTTTTCTGCCTGGTCTCCAGGGCAAGGCCAAATTCAGCAAGAGGCCGTTTGATGGTGATGAACTCCTGCACAAACCTTTAACAGGGCAAGCCTAATGGTGATCAAGATCCTGCGCATGCGCGGCCACATCCGACACCTCTCGGTGGACATTGCCAAGTTTTGTAGCTCACTTCGGGAGGTCACCGAGTCGCTTCGCCCGGACTCCAGATCTCTTCCTTTTGCTCGTTGCTTCGCATCTCTCGCACTTCTCAAAGGAAAGGGATCGTTCCTCTTGCGCCCCTTCTACCTCGTCCATTATTTGGACCACGCACGCACCACGTGGTTGGCGAAACTGACTGAGGTTTCGAGCCCCAGATCCGCGAGATCGTGCCGCTGGGGCAGACCGCCGGATCATCGGGTAGTAGCGTCCATTGGTGCAACAGGTCACACGCAGTTTTGATGTTCCGCGCTTTTTCTGGGGGGCCGGGCCCGGTGCCGCCTGGCAGAAACAGATTGGAGCACCTCGCTGTCCCGCACGAACTTGTTCTTCCCGAAGCTCAAGCTCCCAACCAATTCATGGTAGGTGGACATCGCTCGTCTTGCGCTGTCCTGCGCTAGATTCAGTTTTGCAGACTCCCCAGGTTGCCAGGATGGCGGATAGCCAGTCCCCATGACCAAAGCGCTCTTTTTCCACTAGTCACTAGGATCAGCAGTTCCCTTTCTGGTTGAGCTGTTGGCAATGACTTATTGGGGTGTGTTCCCTCCATAATATATTTTCAAAGGTGTTTGAAGATGTTGGATTTTTGGGAAGTTGGAAGTAAGCACTGCCACGTGGTAGGATGACGGACTTATTCCTCTGCAGGATTCCAGCGATTCAATGCATATATTCCCACCCCCGACAGCCATGGAAACATCTCAAGCTAGGCAGAGCATCGAGATACCTGGTTCTTCCCTTCGGACCTTCTCCCGCGACAAGGGCGTTCTCTCAGGCGACAGGTGCCTAAGCGGCGGCAGACGCTGATGTTCAGCGCCACATGGCCGGAGGAAGTTCAAACCTTGGCGCACGACTTCCTGAAGGACCGCCCTGTCCGGTCGCTGCGGTCTGGGAAGGGTCTCAATAGGGTGGCGAGAAAGGAGGGGTGTGTGTGTGTGTGTTTGTTTGCTGGGCCAGCCCAGCTTCCTAAGTTGTTTCTTTGAATTCTTTTGCCTTTGGCGGCTTCGCATGTTGTCCAGGGTGATAGCAGGAGAACAATTACTTACTGCAGGCTCGTCGGTCATTTGAACAGCCCTTTCCTGCCGGTTTCTGCGACCTGGGCATGGCTGGCAGGAGCATGCCTCTACAATAATTTGATGTGTTTGATAAGGGTGAATGGTTCTTTCTCTGTGCTGCCAGGTGACTAGAGGGCCGGGGTGTTCGAAATTCCTTAGATAATGCTACCACTCCCAAACCTGGAAGCGATGCTATGGAGCGCTTAGTCATGTAAAGACATTGTGCAGAGATCCCAACGGCTTTGGTGTTGGAGGGCTTCCGGATTGTTCGTTTTGGAGTCAAGGCCGCTTTGGCACGGTCCGCGCATGACTGTTTGCTCTCAAGACGGCGTTAGACGGCTCAAGGCGCACCAAGAGGCAGCCATGCAGTGGGTGCCTCATGCGCAGGTCCCATCCGTGGCAATTCCGTCTCACCCGGCCCATGCGCCAGTCTATCAACAGGTGATCCGATCTCCAAGCCCTGACGCCCGGCTGAAGCTGGCACCCCAGTCGCCGCACCTGGCCGGAACGGCCTCACCGCATGCGGTGCATGCGGTGCCTGCTCCCTTGCATATGGTGCGGGTGCCTATGGCCACTGGGCATGCACACTAGGCCGCTTAGGGATTGATATATCATGTCCATGGACATTGCATCCATTTGGGCACAACACGCATTGACCTGAGGATGCTCCGAGTTTCACACGGCGGTCTGGTTCTGAAATGTTCTGAAGAGGTCAGTTGTTTGTTCAATTTCCAAGGCCCTGTCGCCGACCCAGAAGCACTTTCCGGCCAATGTCTACCCAGCTCACATGCAGCTCCAGGCATGCGATCCATTTAATCTGGTCCACCTATTAAAAAAAAACACGCCCCCCCCTAATAAGGAAACCTCGGTCGCATTTTTTTAAATAGGGGGTCCCTGAAATCGGGGGGTCCAAAATAGGGTCACCTGGGAAGAGCTTCAAAACCAAAAAGTAACCCAGGAAAATTTTTATATAACATCCTTTATTGTCCTTTATTAAACTCGTATCAAAAAATCAAAAAATTCAAAAACCTCCAGATCAAAGGGTCTTCCTTTTCCCCTACAAAAACCTTCATTAGAATTGTGATTCTTCAGTAGACTACAGCTAAAGCTGTCGAACGGTGATGTCGCTGTGCCATGCGGTGTTGCATGACCTCGGTGGCAAGTGCGTTTGCGTGAGTCCGTGCCATTGGGGGAAGGAAAGCCTGCTGGTGTAAGCGCGGCGTGTCATGGTGGATAGACAGGGCGGACAGAGGTGGGCAGTTACGGTTGTTTTTGGAACCTTAAAAAAAACCCCTCCAAAATCGGCAATGTTGGTAGTTCAGCAGCGGATTGAAAGGGCGGTGTATAACTTAAAAGCGAATATAAACCGTATTTAGGGGTTTCCGACATGATTTGTTTAATTAGGGGTCCGTTTTTAAATAGGTACTCGGGATTATTGTTGTTTGTTCCCTCTCACAGTTGGACATGTATTCGAAGAGGCCACTCAGCTTCTCCCTGTGTGCCTTTTTGGGGGGGAGCTCCTGCGTATACCTTACAAACGTTTGCTTTAGTTCCATGGTGAGATTGCACTCGGTTCCTTTGCTTGCGCTGCCCGGACATTCGGCTTCACATGGACCATGGTTTCTTTAAAGCCAACTGTCCCCGACTGCCCCCCCAACACCCACTTGAAGTGAATGGTCGCGGGAAGCCTTTAGACAAGACGCGTGGGGAATCGCCCCACCAACCCTGCCGAAGGCCGGTAGCAGCTCGCCGGCGCCCCCCCGCGCCGGTGCTCCTGCGCGGGGGGCCGGGCGCGGCCGACGGGACGACCGCGCCGGCGTGGAAGGAGATGCAGCAGCGGTGGCTCGGAGAGGGAGCGGTGATGAGGTGCAAGTGGTGAGCTGTGGGTTAGCCAGCATGGAAGTATACAGAAAAGCTTTCCTTTTTCTATTTTTTTGGCTGATGCCAAGGTGACCAGCAACAACCGAGCAAGGTTTTACACAACCCGTTCAAACATCGTGCTTATTGGCTAGTGGACATGCAGCTTCCAAGCGTCCCGGCGGAAAAGTTCCAAGCACAGAGATGAATTGCCGCACGCATGAATCTACAGTGTCTACAGTAAGTTTCTTAGAACAACGGTTAATATAGTCATACGCAGATCATTATGCGCAGATCATTGAACGCCCGGTGGGGAAAAGACAGAAACAAGATGACACCAGAATCTGCCCGGATGCGTCCTGATGGAAACTGCCCCAATTTCTTCGCCCAGGCTGGGCTACTCCTCCTCCGAGCGTCCACTGAACGAACGTGCCCAACTTCCGCTGGGGGCGCTGCAGTCGCCCAAGGGCAGCGCATCCCCGGCGCCCGGTTCGCCGCTGCCAGGCCGGAAGGGCGTTGGATGGGAGCATGGGGTGGATGTTAGGGAGCCAGGGAAAAAGCTCCTAGTAGCTTCTTGTTCCTAGTAGTAGGGCCAGGAGCCCCTAGTAAAGCTTCTTGCTCCTAGTAGTGTCCTTCGGTGGATTCTTTTTTAATTTTGGATGACCACAGGCCAAAGGCGACTCTTGGGGTGATTTCCACGTCCATGAGGGTCCTTCAAGAATGCTGAGGCCCTGAAGACATGAGCCGTTTGATTGGGAGAGTGTGTGTTCTAAGACATCCAGTTTAAGTTCAGTTCGAGAATTGAGACATTGCATATTAGCATATATTAGCATATTTCGGAAATGTCTAAGAAGACTCAGGCGCTTTCCACAACAGCCTTGTAGTACCTTTGCTCATGGACAGCAAGGATAGAAGGCTCAAACTGTTTTGTTCGTCCTTCTAGTTCTGAACTTATTTTTTTGCACCTTGAATGCCGGAGAAGGAACAGCTTGCGAAGTCGGTAGGTCTGGCCCTTGCAACCGGCTAGGCTCTCCTTTTCCAGGATCGCCCTTGCCCGGCTCTCCAGTACCAGGGTCTCCAGTGCCGGGATCACCTGTGCCAGGACGGGGTACAGCGTTGAACCGCGCGACACACCCACCATCTGGGTGTCAAACGGCCGCATGAACAGCTCACCTCTCCAGAACATACATGTTACATGTGCCAAAATGGACAGTTTGGGTCACACATCGAGGCCAGTTGGAAGGATCAGTTGAGTCTCAGTCTTTGAGGTCTGATGCGGACCACCCATGGTTAGGTCGATCGCCCCTCCCTCAGAGTCGAAATCGAGAGAAAGGATCGCCCCTGATTCGGCCTGCGGTGCCGATGGAAATCAAGGGCAGAGAGGAACGAGCTACTGGACAGGAACTGGGAGGAAAAGGGGGTGAGAGAGAGAGAGAGAGATGCTTTTCTTGGATCTGATCAATGTCCAAAGTGCCTTGCAAACAGTAACGTGCTAGTTGGCAATTTGAGTTTTCTTTTAAGTACGGCTAGGTCATGGATCACTCCATTTGGAATTGTCATCAGGTTTGCCTAATTTTTCTTTTGCTGCTGGCTTTGTGCCGCGCTGATTGTGGACAATTCTAGGATATTCTTGATACTTTGAAAGGAAGGGAGGCATGCCCGTTTGTTCATTTCCTCAACATTAGGGATTTTGTTCTGCAGTGATGGATATGGGGAAGCCATGTCCCTTCATTGTCTTAACTATAGCAGCATCCCTGAAGGTCATCACAAACAGAAAAGAGTTTAACTCCCCAACGCCCGTCCTTTGGCTTCGTTGTGGCTGCAAGACTGCTAGAGAAAAAGGACCGAATCGCTCAGGTGGGCAGCGCAGATGCGACCAAGCAGACCTTTCCAGGTCCGCACCTGTTCAGTGTCACAGCCTGGCCCGGCCGATCCCGAACACTATATACTAGGAACAAGGGCATCGCTACTAGGGGCTCCTAGCATCGCTAGTTTGGCACCCGTGCTCCGGGCCAAAGACACCAGCAGAATCAGTGGTGATTCGTTGCTCGTTGGCTTCTTTGGAGACTTTGGGTGTGGAAGATGTCTGGCACGGCGGATCGGAAGTCCAAAGTCCTTCATAGGGGAGCAGCAAGAAGATCAGGAGGGAAGGTTGACATTGGGCTTCCCCGATTGGGAAACCACCTGGGACTTGTGTATTTTCTGTCCGAAGGGCCTGCCTTCGCCCCAGGTGCTGGAGGTTCTCAGAGGTGTCCAACGCCACCTGTACCCGAGACGACGCCAGTGGAGCTGCCTTGGACGCGGCTGGCCTCTGACTGCTTGGGCGAGGAGGCCATCGTGCGAGACAGTCCCAGCCTGGAGAAGAAGGTGGAGAGGACTGGAGATCAACCGGGAGATTGAGGGGACTGGGTGAAGCAGTTGGACGAATTTTCAATGGATCTTGATCTGAGATTAAGACTTGTATGCTTGTGGACATCGTTGGCAACCAATGCAGGATGCGTGGAAAACTTTGGGCTTCTTGAACCCGCTCATAGCTTTTTTGGCCTCTTTGGGGAGCAAGGTGTATAAACTGGTCCTGTGCTGGAGGGAAGTTCACGGGGTCGCTTCATGTGGAGACAGCCCATACTATTCCCCCTCTCGGTTGGTTGGTTCATGGCTTTGCCCTCCAAAACCCGTGCCCACCTGTGCCAGGAAGGCTCAGGAAGGCCTTGGCCTTCCGCCGAAAGGGGAAAGCAAAGCCGAAGAAAAAGCCTGGGTAGATGCCAAGGCCCAGGATGTGGCTAGGCTGCCAACGCCGAGAGATGCCCGCTTGGTAGGTACTGTACGTCGAGAGTGACGATGATGGGTGGCCTCGTCGTTGTTGCTTGAGACCTTTGACCTTTTTAATGGGCGCATTTCGAGGCTCATTATATAGATCCCACTTTGATGTGGCCCAGATGGCCGTTTCGATC